TCTATCTATCTATCTATCTATCTATCTATCTATCTATCTATCTATCTATCTATCTATCTATCTTTATGTCTTTTTGTCATCTATCTTGTGTTGAGTAACCTGAGGGTAAAACAGAGAAGTATAAATAGGAACAATAAATTAACCAGCATAAATATGATGGTTGGTTTCACACACATATGAGACACAAATAAATTGTATAAAGGATTTAATTGCAAATGTGGGAACCCAGAATTGGCCATGCTGATGGGTCTGTATGGGATTGATTGATTTAAACACATTATATGTCTGCACATTTCACAAAAGGGACTCTGACTGGTGTAATTGAAGCCATCTGGAGTAACCTAAGTTGGGAAAACCGGATCAAAATACATCCACACTTAGTTCATTGAGTCTAATTTGATATTCCTTGACATTTCCTAGGAAGGAGGACAGCCCTATCCCCATAAATAAATGTAAAAGCTCAACAAGGCACCATTTTCCTCAGTGAAAATAGGATTCCAGGCCCATAAATAAATGCCAAGATACAGGAAGATGCCCCCTCCCCCTTCTTTTCCACGCTTGTGTTTCTGCCACAAATCCATCCTGAGCTCCACGGGCTCCACTAAAGAACCAAAGCAGAGGAGAAGCTTTCCTCCTGCAGGTTTCGCCTTGGTAACTGGCATGTTTTATCAGCAGCCCGAAGCTGGTCTCTGAAGCCTTTTCTGGTGCCTCTGCTGCCATGGCAACCGCAATAGATTCTGGTCACAGTGTCAGCCTCTCTAGGCCACCAAAACATAATCTAAATCAACATGCGCTTTGGCAGACGTGAGCTGAGATGAGAAAGGGATTTGTGTGGATTCCTCCTTCCAGAAGCAGTTAGGTTGCATTGTTTTGTCTTCCCAAGGAATAGAAGTTCCAGATCAGTCTCTTTGAGAAGCAGCTATTTCCTTCTGTGCCCCAGGCATTCTTATGATTCTGGTATCGTCGTCATCATCATCATCATCATCATCATCATCATCATCATCATCATCATCTTAACTATTGTCTACTCTATCCATGGCAAGGTGAAGGTCTGTTCCGCATGTTTCCAACCAATACGGTCCCAAGCTTTCTTTTGCCAGTTGAGCCCACAATACTTGCTAATGTCTTTGATTCTGGTTTATTTACAAATAATTACACAGACTGAGCCAGAGGAAGAAGGCCATCTTTGTCCGTTAAAATCTTCTCCAAAGCAGAAGACATTCCTTTGAAGATCCCTGTATCAAAGTTCTTCAAAGCTTCCTGAAAAAATATCTCTTTTGTAAACTGTTTTGGCTATAGTATATTGTTCTTCTCTTCAGTCTTTTCAAGGTGGATTTTATATAATTCTAGCAACTTTGGGACTGACTAGTGCAGGGGTGTCAAACTCAAGGCCCCCAAATTTAAGCTGCTTAAATCTGGCCTTCAGGGCTGGCCTGGAAATACAAAGGACTGGCCCACGGTGCCTCTGGCAGCTAAAACATGCTGCATGTGGCCCTCCCTGCACCTCATTTTTACCCTCCTTGGCCTTCTGCAGTACTCTTGTCAGCAAAAACAAGCTGGAAAATGGGACAAAAATGGCCCAAAAAACAGCCCAAAATTGGGAAGAAAATGGACTGAAAATAAGCTGGAAAATGGACTGAAAACAGCCTGAAAATGGCCAAAAATGGCCCCAAAATGGCGAGTAGAGTGCTGCAGGAGGCCATGGAGGTTGAAAACGAGGTGCAGAGGGGCCATGTGCAAACTCCCTGTGTCCCATTTTGGCCGGCAGGAGGCATTCGTCCCATCCCCCCTGCTGCTCCCCCTCCAGCGGCCAGCAGAGGAGAACTAAATGCTGATCTAGCCCTTGAAGAAATCCAGTTTGGCACCCTGGACTAGTGGCCCTGACATCAAGTTGGGGAAAGATCATCAAGAAGATCTATCTATGTGGTCACTAAAAATCACCATCAACTTGATGGCACAAAATTATTATTTTTCTTCGAAGGAAATTGTAATTCTGAAATTGTAGCACATACGAACCAATATTACTTTCTCAACACTACATATCTGACAAGTAACTGAATCCATCAGTTGTGTGTGTGTGTGTTACAGGTCTCAAGTTAATGAGCTATGGTATTTTTTTGTTTTGGAAAACTCAGACTGGATGTTTCTGAGATCATGATGGGACTTTCTGCTCCACAGTTTGTCATCTATTTGGAAATGGACAAAGGCATAGAGGTAAAATTATTGGTTATTTACAAATGTGCTTCACATTGTATAATAATCCATATGTGTTTTGATTGGTTTTCATTTAGTAGTTCGGGCAATGTTAAATTTGACACAGTTTATTATGCTGCAAAGCTGAATCCATTGTGATTTACAACATTCCATAAATCAAATATGACAGAGTAAGGTAAAGCTGCCCAGATTCGCTTTGCATAATGAGATGAGCAACATATAAATTTAATAAATTTAAGATGAGCAGCATATAAATTTAATAAAGAAAGAAAGAAAACAAACAAGTTTGGTGTAATGGATAAGGCATCAGGCTAGAAATGGAACACCATGAGTTCTACTTCAGGATTCTGGTGATCGCCCTAATTAAATCATAAGCCTTGAGCCAAGCTTCAAAAAACTTCAAAAGATTTATTAGGAGCAACATGCTGGCATGACCTGTATGAAGCCGACTCTGAGACATGTAATTTACAATCACCTATGACCAGTGGTGGTATTCAGCTGGTTTGCACCGGTTCACATGAGCCGGTAGCAAGGATTTGGTATGGGTCGCTGAGCCGGTAGTAAGTTCTGGCTGGCCACACCCCTGACCCAGTCACTACTGGCTCACTTACCCCACGCGCCCGATGCTCGCTCACCCTACCCGCCTGACGCTCACTCCTTAAGGTACTTCTTCCCCCCCCCCGACAACCAGCTGTTCATATGATCAGCTGTGCTGGGATTCCCCTTGCTGAGGCCCAGGGGAGCCTTCTGGGAGCAAAAACGCCCTCATAGGAAGCTTGCCTGAGGCCCAGAAGGCCCCAAAATGGACCGAGGGGGGTTGCTGTGTGCCCCTCCTATGCTCCATTTTTTTCTTCCTCAGCTCCAGGGGAGCCTTCTGGGATCAAAAGCACCCCCCCCAGAGGCTCCTCTGAGGCCAGAAAGGCCCCAAAATGGAGCGAGGGGGGGGTGCTATGCTCCATTTTTTTCTTCCTCAGCTCCAGGTGAGCCTTTTGGGAGCAAAAACGCCCCCCAGAAGGCTTGCCTAAGGCCCAGAAAGCCCCAAAAACGGGTGGGGGATGTGGCTGCGAAAAAGCAAAATAATAATAATAATAATTTAAAAAGCCACGCCCACCCAGTCACATGGCCATGCCCATCTAGCCATGCTCATCTAACCATGCCCATCTAGCCATGCCCACAGAACCGATAGTAAAAAAAATTGAACCCCACCACAGCCTATGATCCTGTCTTCCCCCACCTCCCTGAGTGTATCATAATTCAGCTTCTCCAATGAAATACGTTCATGGGCTGTGTATCATCACTCACTTTCTCCAATAAAGGATTTTTGCGGGCAGAAAACCCCGTTGCCTATGTTACAATCATGGTGAGATAAGCTTGGAATGTGCTTCTGATTTTTTTTGCCATAGGCTCCTTCAGGTCTTTCCCCTCTCTTTCTCATGGCAACTTGGAAACGGGCATAGGAATGTTTTACAAGTTGACATTCTAATTCTAAAGCTGGTTGGATGTTCCTGGGCTAGTCATTGTCTCTCAACACCTGGAAGGAGACAATGACAAGCCATTTCTTGTCAAGGAAACAGCTAGGCCCTGTCCAGGCAATCGTCTGAAGTCAACACTGACTCAAAACACCCTTCCAAAAGGTGTGAAGATCAGCTCAAATAATCTTTAGAAAGTCTGATGAAATCCTGGGATGTCAAGGATTTTTTTAAAATAGTGTCTGCTGGTATGCAAATGTATTTGCAAGAGACAAGACTATATACTGTAATATTTGCAGTCATTTCATTACCCAACTAGGTAACATCATCAATGTTGGGTTCATTAGCCAATCAGGTAATAAAGTGTCTTCAAGCAAATGACCAAGCTCAGAGGGCATCAAGGACTCCACAGTTCAGTTATGTATGAGCAACATATATTATCTTCTATTGGAACAATTATTTTTATTAAACATAACCTGTATAGAAAAAGGCTACTCCAAATGCCTAATTATAAAGAATCTGGTTTTGTAATCTGCAGTTTGAAGGCCTTCAAACATCTTGCTTTCAGCTCCTCTGCTAATTAAATATGGCGTCTTAGAACACTGTTATGGAACCATGATTACAGATTTGAAAATGGATCTATTCGATGACAGGATGCAGTGTGCCAGAATTTGCCATTTAAGGTAATACTTTTTTATTTTTAGATAATTTGGTTGCTATGACAGCAATAAAATTTCAGCAGGATAGAAGAGAAAATTAACTTTTTTTCCTGTTGCCTCCTACTCAATGTATCCTAAAAACCCTACAGTGGAACAGATTGAACAAAATTAGATTGCAGACATCCTGAATATTCTCCACCAACAAACTAACATGCTGACCTACTTTTCCTTATCTAGTTCATTGAATCCATTGTCCTCAAGAGCTTTTGGCCCACTCATAAGCCTTCATGGACATTCTTTTTTTAAAAAAAACAACAGTATTGTCCAAAGATTTTTGTGATGAACACTGGATAATAAACAAACAATGACTTATGTTAGTTATTAAAACATAAGTTGAAACCAAATGGGAGCATCAAATCAGAAATTGCTCTAAATAACATGGCAGTCATTCTGCATGCATCCATATTTACCTTACTTGGCTATGTTATTTCTTTAAATTACACAAACACTTAAAAATTTCCTTGACTAAAATTAGTCATCATTCCCTATCCAGTTAACATGCTAATTTGAAGCAAATTTGGGGAGGATGAAGAGAAGACTGTCCTGGAAAGGATTTCCCCTCACAAACATTTTTGTTATCTTTGAATACCTTTTAAATAGATTCTTTCAGTGTTCTAAAAGGTACATTGGTGCTTTTGGGAGTTAATGATATGACTATAAAAATAAATTATGTCCTGAAAATCATGGATTATCTTTGCTATCTGTAAGCAACTGTTGGAAAGAAGATCAAAATGCTAAATGGATTAGTAATTTGAGTAAAATGGTATTAATCTCATTCATGTGTCGATATATCACCAGTGTAGCAGCTGAAAGCTAATGGATCCAGATTTATGTATTGCAGGCCTCTATAATGAATCTTTCAGGACTAAAAAAGAAATTACTTGAAACATTTAGATTATCCTCCCAATTTTCAACAGAATTCTATCTAATCACATAGCTCATTAGGTTGGGATACTTTATAACTAGCTATACAAAGTCAATCATATCTAAGAGGAATTATTGGACAGACTAAAACCTTTCTAGTACTATTTTTGTTTCCAAAAGTGATCAATAGATGTATCCAAGAAGCTACACACACACACACACACACACACACACAAACTGTCCAAGACAATAGCTGTCTTTTCCTGTCTTTCCCCAGGAACTGTTATGTAGAGGTATGCTGTTTTTATTCCTGGATAGGACTGATAGTGGAATTCATTCATATGATGAGACACTGGCAGTGTCCTTTTTCAAAACCTAATTGCTATTCTGAACACAAGGCACGGATCTTACAACAATAGAAGATAGAAAGTACAATGCTGGAAAGTCCATGTCTTTTGAGCCTGCCATTGTAGTACCTATGGTACTACAATGGCAGGCTCCAACTGCTGCAAATTTTGTTGGTCTGAGTCTATTTTTTTGACTATGAATGTGAACAGATTCCAAGCATTATTCTTTAATTTCTGGAATCCATTTCTTACAGGGAGGCAAATCCATTAGAAGTCCTTCTTTTCACTACTCACTTGGTGCTTTTCTTGGGTTGTATGTACAGTAAATGGGCAATCAACTGATAGCTGAATGAATCACTGCTGTTTTTGACAGGTTTCTTGAAACTTAGTTATACAATCTGACCATTCCGTCTGGGTTAATTGGAACTATGTAATTTTACTACAAGTCCATTGCATGTCTTCTCACTGATGCACAGATGTTTTTCAAACTTACTTTGAAGTTGAAATAGGTATTTTGATGCCCATTTGCTTTAGTTCAGCCACTAGTTTGCCTTTTTGCTTCTGCCTCATTTTAGCATCCAGTTCCTGGATAATCTGGCAGCTCTTTGTTTCTGTCTCTTGATCCCACCCCAGACTGCTCTTAACTGCTTTGTACTACCCCATCTAGAAAAATTAAGCAATCTGGATTGAGCAATGTTTCCTTTTATCCAATGATGATGGGGGGGGGGGGGGGGGGGGGGGGGAGAGAGGTGGGGAGAGAGAATGTTGGAAATATAATTGCTGGAGTGAGATAAGCTACTTACTTAACATCATTAGCAAACCAGCAGGCCAGCTTTTAATTACTACTTGATTCAAATTAGGAATAATTAAAAAGGTGTCTGAATATTTAGAAGAAATTGATAGGGCTTCTAAGATTAATGGGCTGTAGTGTCACAATTGACCTTTTACCTGTATCACAGTTTGAGCTGGGGAACTTTATTGAGAAAAGAAGAAAGATGGAGATTTCTTGCAATGGAGATTTCTTACACATTTAATAAATTAATGACAATGATTAAAGGGATTTCTCTGATACGATGATCCAATGAATGGAACTTGGGTAGATTCCAAACCTAACTGTATAAAACATTCATTCATAATTAGTAGAGTTAATTGTCTTAAAATGCAATAGATGATTAACAACTGGTTTTAATAGCAAATGTGATGAATTTATAGCAAAGACCAGGAATTATCCAATAGTTATTCATTTATTGCATTCTTGCCAGCACTTAAGACCAGACACACACGTACGCATACACACCCATTCCATTATCCTTGTAACAATCCTGTGAAATAGGTTAGGCTGAGAGATATGATCAGATGCTGAGGGGAAACAAGTCATTTCTCTCATACCCTACTTATCTGTTTGGCTGGATGAAAAACCTAACTCTGGACCCTTGGAACTAAAATGATTTTATACTGAACTAATGCAACTTGATAATGTTTGGAGAAGAAATACTTTGGGCGCCATGCTCTTACTGCCGAATTGGGAAGGAGGCATGATTCATACAAAATGGCTGAGTCATACATCTTGGCAAAGAAAGCAGCTTTCCCAGAGAATGAAGGGGCACTCATTAATGAGCTCACAGTGTTTTAACAGATGCCCTGTTCTTGTTAAAAGTCAACATTAATCATAACACAAGCCTACACTAAGGAAATGGATCTTTGGTTCTGTATCTGTAAGGAAATGCTAAACAGAGGGAGACTGCATTCCTGGACTGCAAAAATTTGGATGACCATCAGGGGGAAGCAAATAAAGAGTTATTGTTGCTATTTAGTGACCATTCTGCATTAAATGGTCCTTTTGCAATCTCAGGATGGTATGCTAACATAAACTGCATTGTTGTTGTTGTTGTTGTTGTTGGTGGTGGTTCTTCAAGCCAGCATTGACTCTGGATATGTCCTTGCAGCTTTGATAAGATTTTAAAAATACAGAAGTGACTGGCTCAAGGTCACCTAACTGGATTTGTTACCAAAGACAGGATTAAAATTTTAGTTTCCTAGTTTCTGCCCTGATCTCTTAACCATTATAACAAACTGGCTTTTGACTTCTGCACTGCTGGATCCCAAAACCATTATTCCGCTAGAGGAATAGAATGGTTATATAACTGTGGATATCCAGTTGGAGTTTATACTGGTGCCTCCCTGCCTCATTATCCCCATTGCGGGGATAATCAAACAGTTCATGTCCTGCTTATTTCCATAGCCAGTATTATGACCTGTCTACTATTTTATTATTAAAATTAGAATAAGAGGAGGAAGGAAGAGATGATGGTTGTCATGGCCCCATATGAAGAAGATTGCTTAGAAGATGGATCGGATGATCCCAATTAGCCCCAGCATAGGCTCTAGATCAGAGGCCTCTGTTCCAGTTTTAGTCTAGCCTCATCAATACCCAATTAATATAAATGGTACCATCATCAGATTGAACACCAAAGAGAGGAGCACCTTGGGAACAAAGATTTACTTGAAAGGAGCACAGTATATCTTGGTAGCTTTGTGATCAAGGTTTCAAGAGTATTAGTTAAGAAGAGTAGGTTAATGATAGGATGACTATAGCTTCTTGTATAAAGCCTCTATTTGAAGCAGTATCTAAAACTTGTAATTCTGTGCTATTCTTGTATCTTGATTCATGTCTATCTTATAGACCTCTCTAGAGTCTTGGATGTTTATTTTCTGGAATCTAACCTTTGCTCACTTCTTTTCATCTTTTGTAACCCTATTGGGACAAAGACTAATTTGACTTCTGCATCAGCTTATTGTTTATGCTACATCACACTCTCTTTATATAATTATTATGGATTTTCATTTTAGCATATATAAAAATGCCTTTAGTGATCCAATTTCAGAATTCAAGACAGGGCAGTGGTACAAAAGCAGTACATAAAAAAATAGAGTGAAAATCCTATTCTGAACCAAAAGAAAGACCAACTCAAGCAACAAAGCCTAGTGACATATTACTATATAAATAGTTTCCATGCATTTAACATTGTAGAGAAATTACTTTGGAAGAAACCTTGATTGCAACCTTCTATTAATTCACTAAGGTTTGTATTTAGCAGAGTATAAATATAAATATTTGGGAAATGCCAACCCTTTAAGCGTAGCTAAAGAAAACTGTTTAAAGACCCAAAGAATAAGAAAAATTAATTTAGAAAAGAATGTTTGGTAATAGAAATGTGAGCCACTTTGATATAATGGTTAAGGCACCTGGCTAGAAACTAGGAAACATTGATTTCTAGTCCTGCCTTGGGCACAAAGCTAGAAAACTGCAGCGACTTGAAAATATGTTAGTTAGATAGATAGACAGACAGACAGACAGACAGGTTGCATCTTCAGTATGTTCTCTTTGTGGCAGATGATAGAAGAAAGAAGGACAGGGGTAGAACCTCAGACTCTCAGAGTTCCAATCAGAGGGAAGCAGAGTTAAACAAAGGAATCGCATCTTTGCACTTTCCTTTCAACAGGATGAAAAGTGCAAAGGGTTCTTTTTTTTTTTTTTTTGCTTCTGGCATTTCATTGCCAACAAAAGTGTTCTCAACACACTTCCTCCTCAAACTGCTGTCAGAATGTTTGTATGATCCATAATTTCCTTACAAAATGCTGTATGCCAACTGGTTGTTCCCTTGAGTTGGTACTTTTAATCCTCTTTACTGCCACATCTACTTAATGAGCAGAGTCCTATTATCCTTTGTGCAGCCAACCTACATGAGCGTTCCCAAATTTTCTTCCAGATACTTTAATTCAAATGTTTTCCAACTGGGTGTTGCCCAGATAAATTAGACTAGTGTAGTTCAGTAATTGTCCGGTCTTCTGAGCAAAAGCAAAGGGGAACTTAAATTCTGATTTCTATAAATTATCTTCCTTGTTAATTTAAGATAGAGATCCCACAGACAGCATTTACCCATTTTCACTCTTTTTTTTTTTTAACACAAAACTTAGAAAGTTGCTTTTGAAAATGGAAAGAGGACGTTAAGCTGTGTCATTATGTCTTCAAAAAAACCAAAGGAGACCTCTACAGTAGCCGAGTCACAACAGCAAGAGCTTGCTTCTAGACCAAGACACATCAGAAAACAAAAAACAAAACAGAAACTGCATACACAAGGAATCCGGAAATCTTTCCAGCTTCCATTCATTCCTGAATCTCTCCAAAGAGTTAGCAACCAACCAACAAATGATTACAGTCACATTTAAAAGTTTTGTTGCTTTCATAGTCAAAACAAGAACAATCAACATTTTGTATAATCCAAAACCTTATTTTTGCTAAGTAATAAAGTTGCTGAGATGTGTCTGGAAGCAAATTTCAGGGTTATATGATATATATGATCAAGAGAAAGATTAGATAAAGATCAGCCTGTGCTTTCCGGAGATCTTGGCAGGTTGGTAACCAATTTGTATGTTAAACAGAACACTCCCACATTTCTTACCCAGGTTTGATGAAAAATGATCAAGGCAATCCTCAAGAGAAGAAAAGAGAAGGGGGGATGATTCTTTTACTCAACAGAGGAAAGGTAGATTTGGAATGAGGGGAAGAATGCAGCTAGAAAAAAGCAACCATGATTACAAATAAGCATCTGGAAACTGTTTTCAAGAGACTTCAGTAATACATATACAGGGTCTTGTAGCCGATTCCAGCTCAAAATGCCCATGTGTTTCTCCCTAGTATGTTCATTAAAGCATCATCAACATAGCTCACTGCTTTGAGTTATTTATAAAAATAATAATGGTGGGATAATAATAAATAAAATGAAAGGACGGAGTGAAGAAATTGGAATTTCAACAATTTGAATAATTAAAGCTGTCCTTTACAACTGAGGTATAAATCATGGGATCTGGGATCTGAATATTAGAGTCCAAATTGCCAATGATATAGATATAAATATGAGCCAGCAGTGTGCAGCAGCTGGCAAAAAAGCTAATGCAATCCTAAATTGCATTAATAGAGGGATACAATCAAGATCAAGTGAGGTACTAATACTACTCTATAAAGCCTTAGTAAGACCAGTTTTGGTCACCATATTATAAAAAAGATGTTCAGATTCTAGAAAAAGAACAGAAAAGAGCAACCAGGATGATTAGGGGACTGGAGACGAAGGCATATGAAGAATGGTTACAGGAACTGGACTTGGCTAGTCTAGCAAGGAGAAGGACCAGGGAAGACATGATAGCAGTCTTCCAATATTTGAGGGACTGCCACAGAGAGGAAGGATTCAAGCTATTTTCTAAAGCACCTGTATGCCAGACAAGGAATAATGGATGGAAACTGAACAAGGAGAGATTTAACCTGGAAATAAGGAGAAACTTTCTGACAGAACAATCAACCAATGGAACAGCTTGCCTTTTGAAGTTGTGGGAGCGCCATCACTTGAGACCTTCAAGAAGAGATTGGACTGCCATTTGTCAGAAATGGTGTAGGGTCTCCCACTTGCACGGGGGGTTGGACTAGATGACCTATAAAGTCCCTTCCAACTCTGATTATCTATTATCTGATTCATAGTCATTGTTTGGTTATAGCTGTTACAAATTCTATTGGGGTTTTTAGCTTCAGATACCCAAATGCCATCATACTGGAATTTTTCTAATCTACCAGCCTAAACTCATAATCTTAAAATAAAGAGAAACATTTCTATTGGATCTACATGATCTCTTTTTCTAGGAAAAAAATCATGCAAAGTTTGAGTTTCTTGGTTTTAAAAAACCCTCAAGCTTGTATACTGCTATTTTTAGAAACTTGGGAAGTTTTGTAACATTCTTTTTGTTCTTACTTCCTTCAATAATATGCATCATGAACAAGTTTGCTATCTGACTGGTCTCTCTGATCACCTAATTCCAGATTATTTATGAAGACAATAACCTAGTTCAAAACTAAATTCTTGGCTGACCTCACTTTACATATGCTTCCATAGTGAAAACTGCCTTTTACTCTCTCTTTTATTCTCAAAGCACTTACTAGTTCATGAGAGTATTTGTCTTATTATTATTCCCAATGCTGCTTGGGAGCTTCTAATAAGTAACATTGTCAAATACTTTTTAGAAATATTTGCATCATTCCTATATTACATTTCTTACTAGTGGGTTAGAATTACATTTGCTGAAATTATGCTGCTTCCTCTAGCATAGTTATGTTGGAAATATATGCTGGGGACAAACTGGGGTTTGTGGTGGTAATGGAACATATCCTGAATAGTCATACTGCTTTTGAGCTTCATGTGTGTTTCTCTGCATGTTGAGTTTATGAAGATAATTGCAGGTTGGATTCAAATTCCTTTCTAGGATAAAGGGATTGGAAGCATGGTAAACAGAAAAGTGCATTGTTCTGAATAATGTCACATTCTTATCTTTCCCTTTGGAAAAAAAAATGGAAACAATGATCAAGCAGACATGTGAACACGAAATAAGGAATGTTGTATTGAGCATATGTGCTCAATATGTTGGGGAAAAAATGGAAACAATAATCAAGCAGACATGTGAACACGAAATAAGGAATGTTGTATGGAGCATATGTGCTGTATTTAAATTCAATATTTTAGCATTCAGCACAGTACTGTTCCTTACAGTCAAGAGGAAGAAAAATGGATGGATGACTGAATATACAGGATGTACCCTTTGTTGAACTATGAGAGCCCTCTTAGACAAATGTATGGGGAGGACATGATAGAAGTTTATAACATAATAAATGGCAGAATAAATAAGACACAAGAATTATCTTTGTTTCCTTCTTTTAATCCCAGTTGGACTTCCAGAAAATAAATCAGATCATCTTTTACCCAGTGGCATAATTTGTTAGAATGTTATGATGTGTGATGGATATTCTGAATGCTTAAAATTAGACAGTGTCAAAGAAAGGGACAAGCAGAATGAGCATCCAATAATCTCCCCAACCGGATGCTCTTCGGATACGTTAGATTAAATATATCAAAATCCGCTGCTAGCAATCTCTGGCTGGGAATTGCAAGTTTCTGACCAACCCATCCTATCAATTCGCGAATTCTGATAAACTACTTGAGAAGAGGGATACTTCAGAATCACAACTGGTGCGAAGAAAGAAAACAGAAAAGGACGTCTGTTGCCATTAAATCTTCTATTTCCGGCAGGAGGAAAAGGGAGATTAATAAAACTCGTTAGTTTAATGGAAACTCTTTAGTTTAATGTAAGAACGGGGCATTTGCAAGGAGTGTCTCTGTGTCGTGTGCCCAAAACTCTCTCTCTCACACACACACACACAAGCACACGCACACCCCATCTCCCCCCCCCCCATGATCACCAATTGCAAGTCCGAAAGTGTCTATCAAGCTCAGAGGCGCTCTCCGCCTTTCACAGCAGTCACCTCCGCCTGCCTCTTATTCATGCAGAGGAGCAGGCGGGGGTGCAAAGCAAGCGAAGTATCCCAAGGCAGGCGGGGGTCTAGGAGACTGGCTTCGTCCAATGGCGTCTCAGCACTCGGCGCAAACAGCCAATGATGAGCCGAGAAGGCAGAGCTCACGAAGCGGTGGGAAGGCTGCAGGAGTTCAGAGCTGGCATTGCTTATCTAGCTTGGCTCGAGGTGAGCCAAGCTGGAGACGAGCGCGGCTCGCTTGGCGGGTTCGCTGTCCGTGGTACTGAAAGCGCGCCCACTCTCCAGCCCCTGTCCTACCGGCGGCTGCTGAACCCGAGGCTCGAAGGCGTCGAGAGAAAACCCCACCGCCCCATGGAAGAGATGGAAGAGGAGCTCAAGTGCCCGGTATGCGGCTCCTTCTACCGGGAACCTCTAATCCTACCCTGTTCACACAACCTGTGCCAGGCATGTGCCCGAAACATCCTGGTGCAGACACCAGAGACGGAGTCGCCTCAGAGCCGACGTGCCTCGGGGTCAGCTGGCTCCTCATCCGACTATGATTACCTGGACCTGGACAAGATGAGCCTGTACAGTGAGGCAGATAGTGGCTATGGCTCATATGGGGGCTTTGCCAGTGCACCCACTACACCATGTCAGAAGTCGCCCAATGGTGTGCGTGTCTTCCCTCCAACTGTCCCGCCAGCTGCACATCTCCCACCGGCTTCAGCCACTGCCTCATTGGCACCGGTGCCACGCAATTCCTGCCTCACCTGCCCGCAGTGCCATCGCAGCCTGATTCTGGACGAGCGGGGCCTTCGTGGTTTCCCCAAGAACCGTGTCTTAGAGGGTGTCATTGACCGTTACCAGCAAAGCAAAGCAGCTGCTCTGCGCTGCCAACTGTGCGAGAAGATACCCAAGGAGGCCACAGTCATGTGTGAACAGTGCGATGTCTTCTATTGTGACCCATGCCGGCTGCGCTGCCATCCACCACGGGGGCCCCTGGCTAAGCACCGTTTGGTGCCTCCAGCTCAGGGCCGGGTCAGCCGGAGGCTGAGTCCACGCAAGATCTCCACTTGCACTGATCATGAGCTAGAGAATCACAGCATGTACTGTGTGCAGTGCAAGATGCCTGTCTGTTACCAGTGCCTGGAGGAAGGCAAGCATTCCAGTCATGAGGTGAAGGCGCTGGGCGCCATGTGGAAACTACATAAGGTCAGTCCTGGGTTGGGGGCACTGAGTAATGAACAGAGCAAGTATGATAGAATACCCTGGCAACAGATGAAAATCCTCATTTCAGCCTTTGTGCTGGATCCCCGTGGTCTTTCTCCTAAGTATTCATTGATCTCTCTTTCTTCCAGCTGTCTTTCTTTCTCTTACTTTTTCTCTAAAACAAGTTTATTCCAATCCTCCTGTCTCCGTGTACCTTTTTAAAAAACTGGTTCTCCATAAATGTTTACTGGAGTACAATTCCCATCATACTCAGCCAATGATGGAGCTGTAGCCCAACAATGCCTGAAGGCATGCTGTGAAACATAGCAACAATTCTGGTCTTCCTTCCCTCAGCTCTTGATTTCTTCACCAATACTAATATCATAATCCTTCATGGCTAGATGACTCATTCATCAATTTGTTAACCTATCTTTCTTTTCCACCTCTCTCCCCCTTGTTCCATATTTTCAGCATTTATGCAATGTGTAGTTTTGATTCTCATCAAAGAGCTCCTTCCTTGCCTTTTCATCATTTTTCCTCCCTTGATTTCCTCCATCTTATTCTTCCCCCTACCTCAAATGAGTCAGTCTCCCTATCTGTAAACAGATTTCACTTCCCAGTCTTTGCTTCTCTTTGCTGGAGTGCTAGCTGTCTATCCTGCCAACTGATGAGAATGCATCTTGATGTTGTATCCAAGAAACATCTGTGCTGGTGTGTCATATATTTTGCTCGGCCTGCCCATCTTCTTTGTTGGCTGCCATTCAAGTGTTTGCACCAAGATGCCTGCAGTAGCAGGCAACAAGATACTGGGGTGCTTGGTGGGGTGAGTTTTACACTGACAGATGAATGCAGCTGGGGAAGGAAGAGGCAAAAAAGCAGGGATGAAATTGCTGCATTTTCCCAATATCCTATGCTCATATTACTCCTAAAATTAACTGGCCTTCTGTTTCCTTTTAAATGTCCCTTTGTCCTCATTTAGGCAGTGTTATCATGGACTTCACCACAGAATCTTTGTACAGCTAGAGGTTGCCAGGCAGATTCTAATCCCTGAAACGAGAAGAGTAGGGCTTCTACCATCACCTTTGTGCTAATATAATGGTAATGAAGACACAGTTTATATTGCTTCAGTGGTGGCTGGATGATGCTAGAAAACATTACAAGTCACTAACGAAAAAAAATGGTCTGAATATAGAAAATGGCTCTTCCTACTTCCAAATGCACAAAGAAAGTGTGTTGTTTATTCTTTAAATGGAGAAGGTATTTTGGACACAATTAAAGGAAAGTTGTGTTCAAAACAGTCCCTTCACCAGTATTAATACTGAGCGCTGACATAGATCCCAGGGTTTAGTCTGTCTCAAATTAATCTCTTAGTTGGCTAGCTGATGATGAAAGGTCCTTGGAGGAAGGGGCATACAACTAAAATGAAACCTGTTGGGGGAGACTTTAAAGGTAGCAGAATGTGTGAATACGATGTGGTAGAAAGAAGCTGTATAAGAAGAAGCAGAAAGAAGCTGTATAAGGATAGATTTCTTTTCTGAATGTGAATTGCTTTCTTCTGCCACGAGGAAGGTGTATTTGCCTATTTCAGTTTCTCCATTTTTAATTTTTTCATGTATTGTATGTCAAGTCTGATGTGTTGAATTTAAAGATTCCTCATCTTCCAAAAGAACATTTACACAGAAAAAAAAACTAATTTAGATGCATTGTTCTACTGATATATGCCTATTGTCCTAGTAAATCTACTTTTTACAAATAATTTCCTTAATAGAAGTTTGTACATAATTCTCACAAATATATATGGGGTTTTGTGCAAATTTCCCTTTTTATCGCGGTGAGTTGCTTGCATAATTGGGATAATTATGAATTTTGAATGATAACTAAATTTCAGATTGTGTGTTGCTTTGAAAATGTGGAATTAGACATGTTTGCATCTGATTTCTCCCTATCACTACTCTGCTACTTGGTAATGGATTTTCTTCACCCAGTGGGCTGCATATTCATGACGTATTGGAAACAGGACCAATATGTGCAAAGCTGAAGTAGAGATTTTCAGGTTCATAGGGTAGCAACACATTAGCTTTTATAATATGACATGGATAACACTACAGTACATGATATCCCAAAGTCAGTGCAGTTTTAAGCTTTAAAAACTTAAAACTGCATGAAGACTGTTGGGACACTGTATAATTCTTATGACTACACCAGGTAGAATTCTAGTTAAAGGATTCTACACCACATATTGTAATCCATATTTTATGTCATGCCCCTGGTGGACACTGACTCTGAGGGAGAGGAGGAACAGCTGACAGGGAGTGGAAGTGTGGCTCCGGAGGTTGTGGAGGAGGTTGGGGAAGGGCAGAGGCCGGCTGAGCAGTCAGAGGAGGACCTAGGCCCATCCCCTCTCCATCCTAAGGCACGCAGGGAGGAGAGGATAAGGGAGAGATGTGGTCTACTTGGGAGGAGAGGGCCTTGATCCTCTTCATGGGCTGCAGGTGTGACAACTGCATAAGAGTTTGGACCTGCGTTCTGACAAACGCTGGAGACAAAGCATGTTTTATTTTGGTTTGAGGTTATCTTGGTTGGCGTCCTTCCAACAGACTGTGCCTTGTTATCTCCTTGAATTTGGTAAATACTTCTCCTGTTTCATTGTGGAAATTTCATCATTGCATTTTGTTTGGTTTTTATTTTCACCTCTATCTGCTCATTAAATTTGGACTGTATTACTTTCTTTTGAAGACTATTTTTGAGTATGTTTTATCTCCAACTGAGAATTATTGAACAGTGGTGCCAAGTTGGAGGCATTAAAGGACATTTATTTACATTTTGGATTTTGTTACATTTGTGTTACACTCTGGGTCATCACATTTTACTTTTTTCTCACTTCCTCCACTCTGAGCTTTTGTAAAGTGTTTTTGTTGGTTGGTTGGTTTGAACTGAGTTATCCCTCAAAACATAAGTGAGGAGAGCAAAAAGGATGTGATTTTTATCTCCCATTTAAATGTCCATTTCTCCTTTCCACATGCTTGTCACCCATGTCTTATTTTTCACATAGGATCTGGCTACATGGTAGCCATCTCATTTCTGAGGTAACTAGGTGGAGATGTTTGACTACAAAGATAATGAATATCCTCTCACATATACCTATGGAACATATAGGCATTTTGACTACTTCTTGCTGTGTTACCCGGATACAGAGATAGGATTGGTGTTTGCAGTGTTACATAGTTAGGATCTAGTGCAGAAGGTGGCTGTCCAGTAACACCTGCCCATAATGGGATAAAATAAACAACACAACAATCAACCATGGAAGCTAACCCAAATGAAAACCGAGGGGAGCTTCAATTGCACCACTGAAGCCAAGCCACCATCTTAACTTTTTTGATCACACCTTGAAGATACCATAACTTGTTTAAGTACCCCTGGGTATAGCCAAGGTTGGCTGGATCGAAACCATGGATTAATTTGCCAGACACCTGCTGAAGTATCACCTGCTGACTTTTGGTCTCCTAGTTTGGCTGCTGGTCTCATTTTTACTTTGTATGCAAAGACTGTGAAGGGCCAAGCAGAGTTTTCAAATGGTCTCATATTCTGTTTCTCATGAACTGTTTTAGACCAGCATTTCTCAGACTCAACAACTGTAAGATGTGTGGACTTCAACTCCCAGAATTCCCTAGCCATTGATGCTGATTGGGGATTTCTGGGAGTTGAAGTCCACAGATTTTAAAGTTGTTGAGATTGAGAAATGTTGCTTTAAATTAAGGCTGAAAGGAAAGAGTAAATAAGTGGGTAGAGATGAAGTGGGGGAGAGAAAAAACATATGAAGAAGCAGGGTCTGAGAGCATCTCACTAGGGCCCCACAAATTGCAAATTGCTAACAGAGAGGAAAAATGAACTTTTCAACTACTTTGCTTCCAATTGGTTCTGCCCATTAGGATATAATGTAAAAAGCCCTTTGTGGCCTCTGGCCAATAATCTTTTCCCGTCAAAATAGCAGCCTAGGACTGACCTTTGTAGATATATTGACATCGTTTCAGAGCTGGCTATAGTGACAGGGACCTGTTAACATGCTTTAACCATGGGAAATTGCTTCACAACCAGCACAGGAACAAAGCTCTGTTTGTCTTGGCAAAGGACAATGTTTACTGCTCAGGCAAGCAGAAGGAAGGAATTCCTCATAATTTATAATTGTCAATGGCTTACACAAGTAACAATAGTTTAAACTATACCTTGAGCATCAGGGCAAATTCAATAACCTTTTATTTTATTAATGTACTAATTTTATTTCATATTTCTAAGCCACTTCAATTCCAAAGGCTTCTGGGCAGTAAACAGTTGAATAAAAACAAGCACATTTTTAACAGATATCAGCTGATACCATAGACTTCTCATTCCTATTAAAAAAACATTGTGGTGCCCCAATCAATTGGACTTATAGCACAATGAAATAGGCTTTAGCCTGCTTATGAAAATGTGTGGGTTACTGTCATGCCCCTGGTGGAGACTGACTCTGAGGGAGAGGAGGAACAGACAGGGAATGGAAGTGTGGCTCCAGAGATTGTGGAAGAGGCTGGGGAAGGGCAGAGGCCGGCTGGGCAGTCAGAGGAGGACCCAGGCCCATCCCCTCTCCATCCTAGGGCATGCAGGGAGGAGAGGATAAGGGAGAAACATGGTCTACTTGGGAGGAGAGGGCCTTGATCCTCTTCATTGGCTGCAGCTGTGACAACTGGATAAGAGGACGGACATGCGTACGGGCGAGTGCTGGAAACAAAGCGTGGAAATATCTCTAGTTTATTGTTCCTCTCTGAGTTTGGCGTCCTTCCCAGGGTGTGTTCTGATATCTGTGGACGCCCTCCAGCCCTTATCTTCCCTGGTTTGTGTTGTTTTTTACTCTTTATAATTTAAACGGCATTTCCTCCTTCTTGTAACTGCTTGTGTGGGAGTTTTTTGTCTCCAGTCACGGATATTTGGAGCTTGGAAGCAAAGTGAAGGAATCACCTGTTTTT